GCCTGCTGACCGCAGGGTGGAAGTCAGTACCTGCATTTTAACCTTCAGTAGGATAAAATCAGCAAATCTTACTAGTCTGGGACTTTGTTCTTTGATTTATTTGGGATGTTGGTCAATCAACAAACATTTATTGAGCAGCCAAGCATAATACAGGTGTGACCTATTTTCAATGTGGTACATTAAAAAAAATTAGTTTTGTCCAAGTTTAATAAATAACCCACGTTTGAAAAAAATTTCCTACCAGTTACTTTATCCTCTTTTTTTAACAAGCTTTAAAAAAAACACTACTACTTTAAATCTACACGTTTGGTCTTGTCTAGTAATTTGTGGACTGGTCCATTCTAACTTCACGGAGTTGGTATCACCGGACTACTGAGGACGCAACAGTTAACTTCATGCTGGGAAATTCAAGAGGGAAGGAGAGGGGACGCTCTCTCCCTCAAGCGGCAGTCTCTCCTTTGGACAACTGTGTTAACAGAACAGGATTTGCTAAATGTGTTCAAATTAATAAATACGTCATTGGTAATCAGAAAGCAGGACTCACTCAGGCTGCTCAGCTGGCGGATGATGGCGGCTAGGGTGCTGTTGGTGACACACTCAAGTTCACTGGTGATGCCCTCGGGCAGGGCTCCGCGGCACAGGTGCCGGGGCTCGATGTTCCTCTTCACCAGAGGCATGGCTCGTGGTCTGAAAGTTAACAAGACGTCTCTTCAGAGTTTGCATTCGCGTTTTAACAAGCCCTGAGTTTTAACTCCCTGGAACATGGACTCTTTCCCGGGAATCTGCATTATCCTATCGTTTCTACGCGCGAGAATCGGCTAAATACGCAACAGAGGCAGAAGTGTTTAAAGGAACGCTACAGATTCCAAAGGCAGATTACAGCACAGTCCTGCTCTTACAGGAAAGCAGCACGTGCGAGACTCCTAGTCAAGCCGGGGGCTGAATGCGCGCGTCTTACCGCGACGCGACTAGAGGGGGTGAAGCAGCAGCCGCGAGCTGTGGGCAGAGCTAACGGACCAGAACATGGGAGAGGCCGCCCTGGACACAGAGGAGGATGCAGGATGGTGCCCACCCACCTGGACCACCGATCCTTGCCTGCCTGTCCACCAAGGCTTGGGCAGGAGGGGCCGGGCACCTAAAACGGGGAGATGGAGGCATGAGGCCTCTTAAGATCCATTTACGAACTTCTCCTCCCTTCCTGGGCTGCCCCTCCTCCCCTGGCCCAGCGCGCTTTCCTCTCTGGAAAAGGTGAATTTGAGATCTGGACTGGAAACACTAGGTAGAGCGAGGGGGCTGGGGAATCACTGAAACCAGGAGCATCCAACCAGCCTGTGCTGAGTGGTGAGGCAGACCTGCCCCACGCACCCCAGCTCCCTTCTCCACGGGGCTCCCAGGACACCAGCCAAGAAGACTGGAACATGCCTCCCCGAGGAATGTTTGGAGAGAGAAGGTCTACAAACACTGGCATTGTGACGAGGCTTCTCCCTATTAAAACAGCCGGCCAGGCCACCAACAGGGACACCTGCCAATCACCTCTCCGGACACGCAGCTTCCAATCAGCTTTCAGTGCC